TATGTCACACAAGTTATTTCTCCAATCCTAATCTGCATTATGAACCCCACACTAAAATAACCAGATGCCAACTCCACGTGCCTACTTGAATGTCCTAAATGTGCCTCAAACTCAGCTTGTTATAAACCAGAATTATGATCTTATAGCTTTATCTTGACTTATTCCACCATCCCATCTCAATGTTTTATTTCATTTCAGCATCCCATCTCATTTTAATTGAACCTTTCTACAGCATTGAAGTAACATTGAATTGCATTTCCACCTTATAAGATATTATCAAGTTCATGATGCTGAATTCTAAGTATGATAATCTTCCTTCCCAGGTTACACAAAATTATTTATATACATAGTCCTCCTACCTCATGGGGGAGGTAGAAGCTTAACTTGGGTAAATGCCAATTAGCAAGCAAGGGTAGCCTGATCACACTCATCAGCCTTCTCCTTAAAATCCTGTATTACTTTTTCTCTAGGAACACACACATGCTGAAAAACTCTGGTCTTTTGTTTCAATGGAGGTGTGTTCAGCATATATTTCCTAACATACTAATCTTTTTCCCTATTGCAGTGCTATTGAGTAAAGTCTTCCTTGCATATTTGATAGAGTCTGGTGAAATTTTCCTTTGAGATCATGATTTGGGTTATTATAACAACTTCAGGAAATTTCTTTCTTATTATGATATCTGAAATCATTTTTCCAATATATAAAAAGCTGTCTATAAAGCCACTTAGTGTCATTTTGAGGGTAGTAATTTCTGGTTCATTCAAATTGTCTTTGTTTTTGGTAAATTTTGGTCATTTAAAATATTTTAGAAATTTCCATTTCATCTAAATTTTAAACACATTTACAAAATTTTAGTTTTATATTCACCTATGATTTAAAAATTTCTACTTTATCTGCAAAGTGCTACATTTTTTTCTATTTCTTAGTCTCTCTCTCTCTCTCTCTCTCTCTTTCTCTCTCTCTCTCTCTCTCTCTCTTTCTCCCTCCCTCCCCATCTATTTCTAGTCCTTTTCCCTCCACCCCCCCACTTTTAATATCTTCTGTGTCAATTCTGTTTGAGATTTGTACATTTCAGTAATTCTTATTTTTAAAAAAATTTTATTAACATTTTTCTACTTATTATTTTATGATGCAGTATATTAAAAATCCCTCAATTGGGGGAATTTTGTTAATTTCTCTATATAATTCCTGGCCTAATTATTATTTTGAAGAACTTATTTATATAGAAGAGTGTATCTTTAATGTTATTTAAATATATGTATGTGMTCATGTTACACATATTCAAGCAAATTGGTTCTGAGGTTATATAGTCTAAACGCATTTTTCTTTAATGTTTGTATACAGTTTTCATTTTTACTCCTCCCATAAATTGAATTAATATGTTGATCTACACAATTTCATATTTTCTTCATACTCTTATAATCAGCTTCAGACTTACAGAGTGATTCGTATACAGCAAAAAGAATAAACTACCCAACATGGYCCATTTTATTAGTTACTCACACCTGGAATCTCTTGCAGTTAAGTGCACCAAGAGCCTAAGACTTCCCCAATAGCATGGCAATGGGTCTGACATTGCCACAAGTAACACATGCCCTCATCCTCCATTCTTTTGGGGCCTGACTGTAATCTCAAGGCAGAGGTAGAACACAGAAGGCCTGAAATGAAGACAGCAGAGTCTGCCTCAAATGACAACAGAACTCCAACCAACACCAATCATTTTTTACTATGATTTGGAATTTGGGGTTGAATTTCAACCTGAGATTTGTATTATTATTGCTACTGCGTTTTTTTTTCCTTCCTTTCTTCATTTTTTTTCTTTGAATTATGGTTATATGGTTCCTGCCAATAACCTCAGTCTTATGCTGGGCCTCCCTTCCAATATTTATTCTGAAGGCACAAGACCTCTGCCCCACAGTGTTAGTAGGAATTTTCCTGAATAAGTCTCTTCCAGCAGGTGACTTGTCTCAGGTCCAAATGAGAGATGAGTCTATTTCCTTCATTTTCCTGGGTCTGCAATTCCTTTAAACTGCAATCCCAGAGAGATGCTAGCAGCAACTGGGGGAGGAAGAATTTTACTTCTGAACCTGGTGAAGTGCAGTGAGATTTAATTAAAATCCCTGGTTATTCCAATATACATTATTGCTTTAACAATATTGGAGAACCACTACAGTCAGCAATTTTGTTGTACCATGCAGTTTCAGACTGGCTCACTACCTTTCTAATTTGTTTTTCATTCAATTATTTTTTTCTTCTTGCTTGCACATGACAAAGTCTTTTTTTACCCATCTACATTTTATCTTTTATTTTAATGACCATAGAAGAAATCTTAGCCTGCKTATGTACTTCCATTTTTTTGGAAAACAAGGCTTTAAAAACCAGATTCCATGCCTCCACACATAATCACTAAGTGTGAATCTCTGTTGCTGTGTCCTCAACAATATTTTTTATTTTAATTCAAGATCTGCTTAATGCATAACCAGGTTTAAGAGTGTGCATGATATTCTCATATTATGTCTGATGCTTCTTTAGTGGAAATTCCATGAAGCCTATTGAAGAACTCCACTTACTAAAAGAAGTAATGAACTCTTAACCCAATATTTTTTTTAAATGTGATTCCTGTTAGTGAAGATTAATTTGAAATGCAACTGTTCTGTTTTGTGCAAGATGACATTGATCACAGACAGAAAGTCCAACAGGATACAACCTATCACAGGTGAAAATGAAAGTCACTTTGCATGTCATGATCACATTTGACTTATAACATGTCCACATACTGTCATTCACATTCAGTACTTTAGGTTTCAATTCTGGCTGGTTGTTTGATAAAAAGAAGAAATTTAATGCATGAAATCTCAAAGCCCCATTAATATTTTAGCACATATTAGGGGAAAACGGTTGTTGCTCTAAATAGGAAAATAAAATGCATATCCTCAGGGTAATTTGAAGGCTCAATTTCTAAAATAATAATAATAACAATAATAAGTGGAATGGAATTTAAAATAACAATTCTGGTGATTGCATTTAAGTGWTTTTTATACAAAGGAGCCTTAAACTTCAAAGTGCATCTTCTTCAATATGTGTATGTGGCTCTCCTCAATGTTTGTTTTCTCTGATCATAAACTGGCTGGGTTAGACTGACTRTTATGGAGTTACTGAAAGAAGATGTCTGAAAAGGAAGGAGAAAAGACAAATGATCCTTCAGCAGACATTTCCTGTGATTGAAGACTGATGTGAACAAAAACTGAACTCCCTTAATAAAAATATGGAGATGTACAATATTTCTAACTGTTCATTTGATGTGTTTTTGCCTTAGATTGGCAAGGAAAYATAGAATCATCATGAGATTCAATCACTTAATGACATAAGACCATTTCAATTTAGATTGTTATATAAATGCCCAAGGCAATTGATAGTAAGATCATAGAAAAAAACTCTAAAGTCTGTTTAAATTGCTAAAATAATTTAGCAATTAGGATCCAGTATAATTTCCTTAGACATCACAATTCATCCCTTGAACTACAAAACACAGCAATTTTTTAACTGTCTACTGAAAACATAGTGTACATATGGAAAAAGTTTAATTTTTCCTACTTATTCCTTAAATAGCAAAATTATGTATCACACCAAAAGAATTCCAACTGTAGGGGTTGAAAGACAAAAAAAAATTTAGGCATGATAATACATTTCTAAAAGGAAGCAAAAATGCATTTGGAGCTATACAGCTTTAAATACTTTAGAAAACACCAAGTACATACATAGAGAAAAAAAATGTGCTGTGTTCTTACGTTTCATTAAATAACAATTTAATTTAATTTAAAATTAATTGCAAAATTTAAAAGGACTGTGACTTAAGGGTATGGTTTATACATTGCCACACTTACTAATGGGGGCTCTCCATGCATCCTTCATTTCTCCCACTGATTCTTCTGTCAGCGTTCCCTTCCTGCTGCTCTCCACATTTTCACAGCTCTAACATATATTTATATAAGTACACCAGAAGTTTGTTTCTTTTAGGTGAAAAATGAAAAGTGGCAGTGGCCTAAAATTTTTACTGTGAACTCCTTCTACATTGGTCAATTACTTCTCTGGATCATTTTGCTTGGGTAAAGGTAGAAACAGGCTATTTCTAACATTCAGGATGGTAGGTATAGTTCATGGTTTCTCTGGTTTCATCAATTTACTAATATGGGCATAATGGAAACTTTCTGATGTTTATTCTGACACCAAGAAGTAATCAACAGCTCTGAGCAAAATGCCATGCTTTTGGAATGTAATTGGATTAGCTAGAAACTAAACGTATTATGCTGGAGTTAGCATGTTTACTTATGTTTCAGGAGGCCTAACTGGATGCAGGGAATGTGAGAATCCACCTTTCTTCAAGCTTACCACAGTGTTAAGACTAGAGGTGCAGCATGCCCCAACAGAATGAATAGAGAGCTTGATTTGGGAAACTAGTTCTGAGGCAGACTCTGCTACCTACTATAATAACTTCTAAAAGTTCCTAGACCAATTGGATTTCTTTATCCATAAAATGAGAAAGGGGATTAGACATCTTATCTGCCAATATCTCCTACCTACATATTTTGTTTGCAATTCTATTGTATCTGGACTTAGAAAATAGCAACCTTTCATAGAGAAATGTTAAGTATTTCATTTTATCCTAAATATTTGCTTTCTATAGGCTATTGATTCTTCTTTTGATATTTACAGAATGTATATTTCCCCATCTACTATGGGATTGTGGAATCAAAATAGCATGCAATTTTTCAAAGTTCAGTATTTCTGACACAGCTATTCTTTCTTTGCTATTTCATTGTACAATTTAGAATTTGATGATGGGGAATAAGTACTTTTTCCTTCCTTTAAAAACAGGACAGCAAATGAAGACTGTTGTTTTGAAAACCAGAGAAAAGAAATAATATATTACTGTGTTGCCAATAGCTTAATATACCATGGGCAGACCAAGGTGGTTTTACATCTCATTATGCCACATTACCTTTTTCCTTTTGGGTAGCTGGGACCTTCACTTCTTTCCCTGTAATAATCTCTGAAAAGAAACATTAAACCATTATTTAAAGTCACAATAAAAAGATGTGAGAACACAGGTATAATGGAGACAATGAACTATCAGTAAAGCAAAATCTATGTAGAAATAATATGATACTTTTATCCCAAAATTATTTTTATTAGAGACAAAGAAACAACTGTACAGAATACAAGTAGCTCTCCTCAGATCATCTGTATTTAAACTTAAATTGTCTAATAAGCTATAATGTCCTCATTCTTTTAAGATGGTGAGCATTTGAATGGCCAGGAACTTATTTATAATCTTAGAAAATACATAATTTCAGCATCGAGAAGTCTCCCAAACTATTTCAGTGCTGACTCTGTTTGTTTGTCTGTTTCATAGTATGCTTTTCCAATAAAATGAAYAATCCAATGGAAAAACCACATACATTATGTAACTGTACTGTTACAATCTTCAGACTCAAATCAAACTGTTCAAGATTGAAACTACCCAAAAAAACCGAAGGCTGAATGTTTCCTAGGATAAGCAGATAGTGATCCATTGTTGGGGGAGGAAGTAGGGAAGACTGAAGGAACTATAGAGCTGGTGCCATGGGGTAGAATGAGAAGGACATTATTACCCTATATACATGTATGGTTACACTACTGGTGTGACTCTGCATCATGTACAACCAGGGGAATAAGAAGTTGTGTTCCATTTGTTTACAATGTGTCAAAATGCATTCTTCTATCATATGTAACTAATTAGAACAAATTTAAATTTTTTAAAATAAAATGAATGATAGTTGGTTGAGGAAAAAGAAGCTAAAATAAAAATTGAGAGATCATTTCATTAAGAAAGCAATTTTTATCTCGAAACTCCCAAATACTTAAAACTGTGGTCCATAGTTGAAATAAGTCAAATAAAACTTTATTCTACTAGCTTCAGTACAGTGCAATCACTACCATATTATGAAGTCCAACATACATTCAAACAATTCCTTGAATATCATCATAGCTCACCAACAGTCTACCAAAAAGAGAAGACCTGTTTTCTGCTTCCTCTACAACATTAATGTTCAATATCTACTTTGTAGATGGAATAAATTTCAATGAGATGGGAAGGGAAAAATACCCCTTTTTACCTTCCCATTTTGTAGTTTGGGGAATGAAGAGATTATTATGGTAAAGATTGTAAACGGAAATGTACTCTACCAATCATTTAGAATTACTAAGTGTAGGTGGCTAAGGATGTGTTAAGAATGAGTTTAAATGCTTTGGATACATACTGGGGAATGAGATAACTGGGTCAAAGTTTATAGCAGCACAATTCACAATTGCTAAGCTATGGACCCAACTAGATGCCTTTCAACAGATAGTTTTAGTATATTTGATAATAAATGAATGGATCTGAATACTATCATGCTAATTGAAAAGCTAATCCCCCCCCCCAAAAAAAAAAGTCATTTTTTTTTTCTGATTGGTAGATGCTAACCCACAACAAGGTAGTGGAGAGGGGGAGGTAAAGGGGTAGAAGTTCAGTAAAGTAGACAAAAGGGAATAAAGGGAAAGGAGGGGGTGGAAAAAGGAAAGACAGTGGAATGAATCTGATATAACTTTCCTATGTACATGTATAAATGTTACCACAGTGAATCTCATCATTAGAAATGAACATTCACCAGTTATTAATTAAAAAAATAATTACAAGTAAATGGAAGAAAGATCAATAAAGGAAAGGGAGAAAGGGATAGGTAGAGGGAAGGGGAAGGAGACCTACTAGGGTCTGAATTAGAACAAGATATTCGATGCTTGCATAATTATATCAAAATGGATCCTACTATCGTGTCTAAGTAAAAAGAACCAGTAAAAAATAAAAAAAGAATGGGTTTAGAGTTATTATGCAAAGTGAAAAAAGCCAACTATAGGAAGACAAATACCTTATCTCACTTTAATGTGATACACACACACACAACACACACACACACACACACACATTCAAATAGAGAGTAAAATGATGGATATCTAAGACTGAGGGACAGGAATGGATGGGTAGCCTGGGAATGTTGACCAAAAGGTATGAAGCCTCAATTAGGAGAAATAAGCATTAGTGATCCATTGTACAGACTAGTGAGGTGGTGGATTTGCTAGTCTAATTCTATGTTTTCACATTGTAAACATATATCAAAAAATCACACTGTATACCATAAATATATGTAATTATTATGTGTCAACTCAAAATCAAATTTTAACCAAAAGATGTTTCCTTCAAAACAAGAGCTGCTTGGAGAATAAGCAACAACTTAGATACCGACAACACATGTAGAATTTTTTTAAAAGGCTCTGGTGACAAAGCAATGTCCATGTTGCTATTGGTGGAGTTGATACAAATAGGACCATTTGTTTCTATATTTCAGCATGTGAAGAGGAAACCAAGAACCATGAATTGAACAAACACACTGGGACTTTTCATTTAATACATTTCAAGCTGATGGGGTAATTGACTGTGCTTGCACATCCTAGCTAAGCCAAAATAATTAATAAAAAGTGGTGGTAGGGACAGATTCCCAAGGGGGTGGCCTGGAGTCTCAAAATTCCAGATTCAGCAAACAGATTTAAGTAGTTGAGTGTACATGCTTGTATGGTATTAAAGTATTTATACAATGCATGCAAGCAGAGGGCCCCCAGGATGACTTTGGTTTTAGCACAGAAAGGAAGGGGTCGAATAACAGGGTACTTTCATAGGCTATTCAAAGATAGTAAACTCATCATCTTACACTCTGGAGAAAGTTCCCAGAAAATATAAGGGATTCCTGTTTCCATTTCTGCTAATGGCAAGATGATTCCAGGCTGGGTCATTTCTGCAGATCATTTATTTTCAGTTTTCTTCTTTTGATCTCAGTGCATTTTGACTTGATTTAGGAGTTTTCAGGCTTGCCTGAGCAGTCTCTAACTATCCTAAGAGTGAGAGTATTATCTAGAAACTTAACTTCTGTATTAAGAAAAAGAGATGAATTGGTTTGGTCAGCTCTTAAACTGTTTTTCAATTCATTTGTCTTATTTGTCAGAAAACAAGAGGTTTATTTTTTTTCTTTTTTTTTTTTACATATATGATAGTTTCTTTCTTTGCATTTGCCCAAGAGCCCACAGGATAATTTATGAGTCTTGATGATATTTTGTAAAAAAGAAAGTGCTTAATGATGCTTTGCTATAAGCAAGAACTCTGTCAAAATTATCTGAGCAAGGAGGCTGTGATGGAGAAAAGAATAACAAAGGAATAGAAAAAAGTGTCAAATTTGCCATTGCTGCTGCTACTTTCAGAGGTGAAGGGAGCAGTGAATTGGGTGAATGTCTATGATGAAGTGTAGCATTTTGGGTGCTCACTTTTGAAATCCTCAGACAACCTATCCTAATTTTAGGTGTAACATTGGTTTGATGAAAGGGAATAGCCAAGAAAAGTCTTACTGATGGTTAAATAGCCCTCAGGAGATAATCACTTGCCTGATCCTGAGCACCACCATACAAAGAAAGATAGGCTCCACTGAAATCCTATGGCTTTAGATGCATATGGATACAGGTCAGGTTCATAAAGATAGTCCACCATTCAGAGTTCCCAGCACACTGTTAATAAAACAGCAGAACCTAAAAGCAGTCTTATTACATTATCTTAGAAGAACAAATTCATTAATCTCTTTGTTACCTTGTTTGGACTTAGTTTGCCATTCCTTGTTGTCTAGATGGATCTTCCATCATCAGGTCAATCAGACCAGGTGGTAAAAGTAAGTGGGAATGGGAAAGGAATGGATACTCCAAAGAAGATGACCAATAAGAGGCACTAACAGAGTTTTCTGATTTCCAGGTGGTGTAAGCCACATAAGCAGGGCTCTACCCCTGCAGCAGTATGGAGCTGCTGAGAGGGTCAGGTGAGTCCAATAGTCAAGGCATGTCAAAAGCTGAGCCAGCAGCAAATCAGCAACACTAGTCTTTGTTCTGATCTGTGTCTTTGGAGCAATCCTCCTCAGACTTCTGTGTAACTCCTTAAATAAAACCCAATTTTTCTGATGGTCTCTAAAAGCCTAATGTACTCACGGACATGTCATCCCCAATAAATGTGGTCCCAGGTGATTTTTCTGTAATAGTGCTGGGTTTAGAATTTTACCATTATTTCAGCATGAATTTAGATGTGTGCATGCAGGAAGCTCTACAAGAGACTAGTAAATGCAAGACACCTCTTCTCTGCTTAATAGAAATAATTCACAAAACATAATCACTGCAATGAAATAAGTAGATTTTTTGCAAGTAAAATTGGGGCATTCTGATCCTGCCAMAGCTCAGCAGCAGGCTTCAAAGGGACTCTTCAGAAACAGTAAAGCCACCAAGGCTTCTAAGGTCTCTAAATCTTACAGGTCGCATCACAGATTTCTTCTTTGATGTTCCATAATGATAACTTTTATTCAGGATAAAAGATAGAAATAAAATTATTCTCTAAAACAATATTCAACTCATCTATTATAAGCACATTTTAGTAAATGAATGAAGCTTGGGAAAAAAGAGGTATATTTTACATCAATTAAAATCAATAATCATATTTATATACATGATTCATTTTTGTGTACAAATTTTTTAAAAAATTTATTTTTGTAGTTTTAGGTGAACACAATATATTTTGTTTCTATGTGATGCTGAGAATCAAACCCAGTGCCTCAAGCATGCTAGGCGAGCACACCAACACTTCAGCCACATCCCCAGCCCCCTATGTACAATTTTTAATGATTTTAAGACATTTTACAAAGAGTATACAACTTTAATTTGAAGAAAAATTGTTCACTAGGAAATTGTCTGTAACTGTACATTAATAACAGTGACAACAATAATAAAAATTACAGAAGCCTACTTAGTGAAGTAGTCAATATAGGTTTAACTGCCCCAGATTGTTTTCCAGGATAAATTTTTATGACTAACCTTTCCAACAAGTTTTGCGTGTGGTGCAAGTGAAGTGTTTAAAGGGTAGTTTAAATGTTTGGAGAGTAGCTTTGGAGGTCAGCTTCAGCCTTTCTTTGTAGCTGCTTTCATAGTCAACAGTATGGTATGGTCCACTCAGCTGCCCCTCAGCTGCAGACCACAATGAAATACTACATAGTACAATGGAGGAGGAAAGGTTCAAATTTTGTAAACTGAAATTTTTCGTTCCATGTAGAAAGACATATGCGCGTGTGGATTGCTGGTAGTATATTTCAATAATATCTTTAGCTCACACACAACCAAGGGCACTGTTTTTATTACTTTTCAGATAAAAGGAGAGTGGGAGATAGAAAGGGGTCTTTCCCAAATTGTAGATAATCAGTAGAGAAAAAAATAACTTTTCTGTGGTAATGAAATAAAATCAATCCCATAGTCCAAAGACAAAAACCTTTTTTTCCTATACTGCAAAACCAATGTTCCCATGTCATATATATTTTTAAGTTTATATAATAAGGTCTACATTCAAAGCAAAGGTACTTTGAAACATATAAATATGAGAACTCTATTCTAAGAAGGAAGCATACCAGTGTTCAAATGAAAAGATAGACTTTCAAACAGGACAATCTGGACTTTGACTGTGACTTTGCCTCTTCCTCGGTGTGATACTGAATAACGCATATAAAGTATACTTCAGATTCTTCTAAAAAAATGAGGTAGTAAGCACATTTTTGCTAAAATAAAATACAAGATGTATACAACAATGTACCTGCCACCGAGCAGAGGCCCAGTGCTTCCCAATAAAGCTCTGACCTTTGCCTGCTGAGCTCTTAAGCCTCCTCACCTGAATTCACAGAACTTCTTCAAGAAGCTCTTCCCTGATCCTTCAGACTAGTTTGGGATCTGATATTTCACCTTCTCATAGCACCCAGTATTTCCATGCTATGATTCTTGCATTTTAAGTAATTATTTTTATCAGTACTGCAAATTCTTCCTATGCCTTTATTGTATTCTGATGTCTGGTTCATGTCTGAATTGATTACTACATATTAGAGGCAGAGTGAACAATTATTAAATGTGGCATTCATCAGTCCACATAAAAAGAAGATGAATACATCAAATCTTCATGCTAAAATAGGTGGCATTTCAGTTAATTAATAAATATGTATTTTATAGAATAAATTATAAATATTTTACACTTATTAGTTCAGTAGTAAGGGCTTCAAGGGAAGCTGTAATAGAGAAACCCTGATGTTTTACGTGAACATTATTAATAAGATTGGAATATGGATGGGCAGGAAATAAAGGCATCTGGTTCATTAGCAGATTAAAGTTAACAAGATTCATGTAAGAATTTCGTGCTTTTTCATAGCAATTAGGAGCCTGACAAGAACAAAGCAGACAGAACAAGCCTAAGAACATCTGAAAATAATGGGATTCAGAACTGCAATGACCCACTCTTTCTACCTTTTGCTAGCTTTGCCATCTTTGTTTCTTCAATGATTAGCAAGTACTTGGAAGGTATTATGCACAAAATAGATGTTTTATGAGTGGAAAGAGAAGATAGAACTGGAGGGCATACAGGCAATTCGTTTCTAATATCCTTTACTTCCTAAAGTATGTGTATATATTTATTTTTATTATGTATATATACACACATATAAATCTTTTTTGGTATGTTTTTAAAATTTTTTATATGTTCTTTTTAGTTATACAAGACAGTAGAATGCATTTTGTCATGTTATACATAATGGAATATAAATTCCAATTCTTATGGTTGCACATGATATGGAGTTACGCTGGTCATGTACTCATATATGAACATAGGAGCATTGTGTCCAATTCATTCTCCTGTTTTTCCTATTCTCATCTCTTTTCCTTTCCCTTCATTACCCTTTGTCTAATCCAATGAACTTCTATTCTCCCCTTCCCCCAGCTCTTTATTGTATGTTAGCATTCACATATCAGAAAGAATATTCTGCCTTTGGTTTTTTGGGGGGGGATTGGCTTGTTTCACTTAGCGTGATTGTCTCCAGTCCATCTACTTACCAGTTAATGCCATAATTTCATTCTTCTTTATGGCTGAGTAATTGTTTATATATACCACATTTTTATATAGACCATATATATATTATATATGTATATATATATATATATATATATATATAATTTATATAGTAATTGTTTATATATACTATGTTTATATATATATCACATTGTTTATATATACCACTTTTTTTATCCATTCATCTGTTGAAGCTTATGTATGTTGGTTCCATAGCTTAACTCTTGTGAATTGAGGGGCTATAAATATTGATGTTGCCCTGTCACTATACCATGCTGATTTTAAGTTCTTTTGGTATATACTAAAGAGTGGGATAACTGGATCAAATGATGGTTCCATTCCAAGTTTTCTGAAGAATCTCCATACTGCTTTCTACAGTAGTTGCACCAATTTATAGTTCTACCAGCAATGTATGAGTATACCTTTTCCCTCACATCCTTGCCAACATTTGTTGTTACTTGTATTCTTTATAATTGCCATTCTGATTAGAGTGAGATGAAATCTCAGTGTAGTTTTAATTTTCATTTATTTAATTGCTAGAGATGTTGAACAATAAACATTTTATTATTTAAGAAAAAATCTTTCCTTTTAGCTTTAATCAGAGTACTTTATAATTTTTTTAGTGGTAGTTGGACACAATACTTTTATTTTATTTATCTATTTTTATGTGGTGCTGAGGATTGAATCCAACACCTTACACGTGCTAGTTGAATGCTTTATTGTTAAGCCACAAACCCAGCCCTAATCAGAGCACTTTTCAGGCATAGTAAACAGATTTGGGGGGAACAAATAAATTAATGTTAGTTTCAAAAAAATCTATGACTGTGACCTGTGCAATTCTGAGCCACATATCAGCAAAGAATATGCCACTAATGTAATATCTACCCATTTGTATATTTTCATCCATTTCCAATATTATGTTAAATTTACTCTATTACCTTTATCCTTCGGAACAGATGAAGTCTTCCCAGATTTTTCTTTTCTAATTTCTGAAAGAAAGACCATGACAAGGAAAGGTTATAAGAAATAAAGGAGAAAAAAAATGCAAGTTTCTTCATGTATTCTTATTACCCAGGCTTAAAGAACAAGCCTCTGAGTTGATATTCAAGATACAGATATTTCCTAAGATGTTGAAGATAAGGTATTGAGCAAACAATGCAGAAAGCAGAGAATCAATTGATGAATTATTATCACAGGGGAAGACTATGACATTAACAGAATAGGTAAAATTAACATGCTATAGGCTGTGTTAGATAATGGCCAATGTAGTCTGCTTACTATGTATCAGGCAGTGTCCACTACTGTCTTGTCCTCAGTGTTTCTAAGAACCTTATAAAATATATAGGTTCTGTTATTACTCCTGCTTTTCAAATAAGGGGAGTAAATAAACTTCCCAAAGACATAACTAAGAGACCTGACATTTGAACTACTTTCTCTGAGCTCAACCACAGTGGTATTGCCTCCAGGAATTAAAAGATAGGATCAGGAATGGTTTCAATCTTGTTATGCTGAAGCAGACCTTGAAAGACAGAAAGGTATTAAGCCAACAGAGATGAATTGGGGAATTACACCAATACGAATGGAAAGAAAGACTCATTTTAGAAGAGCAGAGAGAAGGGAGGCCTGGGCTGGGTAGGTCTATCAATTTGGCTTACTGCTATGTAAGTCATTTGTTCCCACAAAAGGCAGTGAAATCAATGCTACATTACTTCTAATGCTAAATCAGAAAAGGCCATGCTGTCTCCATTTGCTTATGCAGTGGTACCAGCTCTGGGAAATCCAGCTCCATATAAAAATTCAACCTACACCACTATGTTGGGAGAGTCTATATGTAGGCAATCTAGTTACCAGCTCTAACTGAGCTCTCAGCCAACAGCTAGCATAGAAGTTCAGCCATCTGAGCAAGCTGCCCTAGAGGCTCAGCAGTTGGTGGTTTCACATGACTGTAGACCAACCTGACATCTGACTGCAATCATTCAAGACACACAAGTGAAAAACTGCCTAATTTATGCTTCCTAAATTCTTAACACACTAAATCAAGAACAAAGTGAAATCAGCTGTTGTTTCCCACCAGTAAGTTTTGGAGTGGTCTGTATATATAAATAGTATATGACAAAAGAATTACAAAAAAAATATTGGGCCATGCAATTCTCCATTAGTGACATATAGATAACAGAAAAAGGATTTATTAATTTTACTTTAAAAATATGCAAGGTTTTCACTAAGATTCCATTTGAGTTTAGTTTTGTAAGTTGATTAGAATTTCCCTGGATACGAAAATGTCACTCTAACTATATAACAGGACGTACATGGTAAATTATATATTTTTCTAAATTTGAGAATAGTTTCTGGAGTTCATCTTTGATTTATGGTAGGATACCTGCCATTAACTGAGGTATAATGTGTATCAAAAAGAAATATTTGGAGGTAGATATTGTCTTTGTTTGGAATGTACAGTTTCCTGTGTCAACAAAACACCCAGAAAGGGAATGTCTCACAAGCAGTTAAAAAAACAGGTGAAGTGCAGATTACATGCAGGTGTTGTAAAAGTAAAGCAGGCATAGACATTTATAAATGGAAGCTGTCAGTATAACCAATAACATGATTTTTCAAGATATTTCACCCAAATAAATATTACTGATTTCTTCACACATATTAATTTGACTTAGTGAATAAATTAATTATGCAAAAATAAAATAAATCACAAAGTTCAAAATTGTCTCCTTGATAATACATGAAAAGTGTACTTAAAAAGACTGATATCTTCAGTTATACCTTTCTACTAGCATTTTTCATATTTTGTCTCATATAACTCACCAACATTGATGTATCATTCATATATTGATTTTTAGAAACATGTTTTTCAGAATTTTAATGCTGTTGCCAGACTTTCAAAGTTTCATAATATCTCTGTTATTCCTTAAGTGATAATTGTGTTCGTCTTAAAGTTATTTAATTGTAATTAATTGCACAATTGTTTTAGTATTTAATATATAAGAACCTCCCCAGAAATCATGATTTTACATTCATTTAAATTTCATTTTTGACAATCAGTGGTATTTTAGAAAAGCTGTTTTATAATATTCTCCTATCTATTCCAACCTCCAAATTACAAAATTTATAAATACAAAGATGAAATTCTCAAGTTGTCTAAATATTTTCAAATACTTTGCTTATAAATATCAAGAGGATAAATATAGCACATTGAGGTTTTATGCAATTCTAATTTTGAATTCTCCTGAAAATATGTAAACATACTTTAATATTACTTGTGACTCTCTCTGTTAACTTTGTAATTAACTATGATTTGGTCTGGGAACCATCCTTAACTTTTCTTTGTCCTAACAATACATTTGATCATTCCCTACTCTCTTTGGTAAAGGATCTGATACACATAATTTTTTTTAACCTTTTTAAATATGTCTTCCTAAATATTTATATAAAAATTGTTTAGCTATGATATTTTCAATTAATTTAATACAATTTAATTCAATGTTGTCTTAAAATATTGAAGCCTTCTTCTTATCTATTACATAATTTTGTGTTATTTAAACAACAACAAAAACTTTTTCAACCTATTTCTTTTTCTATCTCTGAAAAGACAACTCAGTTAAAAAGGATATGATAAAATTTGCTTGAATTACATCAGAAAAGTGTTGCCTCTACCTGGAGACTATGGTGAGCTATTCCTCACATAATTGTAAATAAAGTCTGTAAGTTAAGTTGCACAAAACAAAGTGGGGAGAGTTAGTAGATTCTGAATGCATCAACTATATATTAATATATAACACTTTGCAAATATTCTTTGAGGAGCTTCACTCAAGTATTACATGCTTTAGGAAAGTTTTTAAAACTGTGATATATACAATGGCATAAGAATTCAAAATAAGTAACATATATAGAAATGTTAAATGCATATCTTGCAATCACCATCAGATACTAAGTCTCATCCAAAGAACTTCATATTCTTGTTCTTTTGACAAGTTCCTCCTTATATTGGTAGTGTTCTACAAATTATTTTAGTTGAGGGGCCTCCCCTGAAATCATGTAGACACCTTTTCCTTTGACTAAATTCCAATCAAACTTCATAATTGCTTTGAGGCTAGATTGCTTGGCAGCAAGAAGTGGACCTTCACACATCCTTAAATATTTTGGTCATTTTATACATTAATATTCAGAATTCTAATCAGAATTCTGGAGAATACTTCAGTTGGCTACATTTTAGTTCATCTCTCCCTATCTCTTTTGAAAAAGATTAGCAATGTGTCATTATATAAATTAACACTTTTATTTGATCAAGAATTAGATACACATGATTTTAACTTGTATTTCAATATCTGGGAGATGAGATACACAAGTTCATCCCAAGGACAACTTCTAAATCCATGACAAAAGATTTTATTTTTCAAAGAAAAATTTTTTAGTCATGAAACTTTCTTCATGTAGTCATGGTCTACCAAGATGTGAAAGTTTGATGTTTGAAGCAAGAAAATAAAGACAGGTCTAGATCTTAGTGTTTCCTGCTTCCACATGTAATGTCAAAGCATTATTTTAGTTCAGCAGATGCTTCTACATAAGATCTTTCACTTCACATTCATGTCCAGTGGGTTAGGTATTATTTATATCATAGCTGAAGCTATTAGAGGTGAATAATTTGCCTGAGATTACAGGCAAATTCTGTAAAAAATTCTGCAGAGTAGCTGGAAATATGAACCCAGAGGATCACATGAAAAAGTTAGGGCTGCAGTGCCACACTATGCCTCTGGGAGGAGGTGGTTTCTATGGAGAAGAGCACTACAAATGATCCCTGGAAGTCAACAGTGAGCATATCTGCATCACCAGCTGATACCGAAGTTCTCCTAACTTCATCCTGTCCCTCTGAAGCAGAGACTATGCCCTCAAGCACATACTAGGAACTCAATAACTACTTGTTGAATGAATAAATTAATTTGCCAAATTCTGTGCTGAACATATTTTATCAGGAAATTTCTCAGATCTTTACATAAAAACTTTATTGCCCTTTACCTTTCCCAGTTAATTATCTGTAATTTTCCAATTTCTGTCTTACATATGTGTCAAGAAAAATGAAATTGTCAATATTCAATAGTTTTCCTGGACAAAAATAAAATTATATATGTTTCAATCTGATATTTCATAAGCATTTTATTTTTATATAAGATTTGGAATGAATTTCCTAAATTGAATCATCTATAATCATGTATCTGTATACATATTCCAATTTATTTTTGTGATTTTCTCTAATCATGTATTTATTTTAGATAAATATATTCTATTTTACAGAAACCTTGTTCACAATACATACTCTTCAGTGTCCTTCAAATTTCATTTCATAATCTGAAATCTTCCACAACACCTTTGTGTGAGATCTTGGGAATTATTCTACTTATGATTTAAGTATTCAAATTAAACATATGAGATAATGAAAACTGGAAATTTCAAGAGATACACTAGAATATAAAAATATTAACAGTTACTAAAATAACAAAAATTAATATGGCTTTTTATATACCCGTCTACTTTCATGCTATGGTGTTACAAAATATAGTACTTTGAAATTCACATAGTAAACTAATTCTTTGACGTTTGTTGTGCTTTTAAATAGCAGATTGAGATTTATAGGAAAGTTGAGCTAAAAGTCAAAGTTCCTAAATACTTCCTTTGCTTTGGACAAAATGTCATGTTTATCCAAAATTCTTATGTTGAAATCCTAGGCCATRATGTGATGTAAGAGAAGAATGGACTTTGGGAGGTAATTAGGTCATGAGGGTTGAAAATTAGTGCCCTCATAAAAATAAAAACAAAATGCAGCCCTGTGAGATTTTTTGCCCTCTTTCAGCCATGTGAGGCCATGTGAGGATATAAAAATCAGTAACCTGTAACCTGGAAGAAGATCCTCTCCAGAACCTTACCACACCTGCAGCCTGATCTTGTACTTCCAGCCTCCTCAACTGTCAGAAATAGATTTTGG